AACCCTGAAAGACAAGGGCGTGTGAATTGTGACAAACATTAATATTTACCCATAATGATTGCATCCGAAAAAAGAATATTTACATAACTTTTTAAGTTACTCGCGTACGTCCGCATCGCTTAAATTTGCAAACTTACACATTTTATTTATTCCATTGGCAACTTTCGATAATCAAATTAAGAAACATTCTTGGAATTCTTTTCCGTGTACCGTTAAGAACAAATAATCTCAGTTATTTTATGTCAATGGATTATTATTATTGAAATTTTATTCCGTAATTAAATTTGTAAAAATGTACCTAATTAACTTTCATAATTATACCTCTAACTTAATCGGGCAATCTTGGGTTAATCATGCAGAAAACGGAATGCTTGTTTTTCTACAGGATGTTGATTAATTTCGTATTGCTTACGAAAGTAGATAGATGTGGAAATGCTGGCAATTAGTAGTTGTTTCTATATTCAATGCATAAGTACGCTTGGTTTCAGACGTCATCTATTGCTGTTTGCTAAACCCCTGAAAAAAAAGTCAAATTTTAATGTGATTGATTTCGTGCGAATTGAATTGATCCAAATCGTAAAAGTATTTCGCCTGTTTTGTGTCGATTTGTGCGCCTTTGTCGGTTGGGATGATCCAACTTGATGCTCCGTCGGGGTAACACCAAACCTCCGTATTTATTATTAGCGTTGAATCTAAGACCAGTCTTAAAATTCACGTTAATTAAGCGCGCTTCATTTGACACCAAACCCACTCAAACGAATCATACTACAACACATTTAATTATACTCAGACTCACTTAATTGACCTATCGACTAAAACACGACGCTAGAAATCGAAGCAATTACTTTTACCTTCCTTGTAAAGAACTACATAGGTTCAGAAGCTACAGTTTCTCGTAATAAAGTGCCCCAAATTTATATCACGCCCCGATACCGTGCATTCATGTACCGGGTTGCCCTCAAAGCTGGTAGATCTGACAGCTGAAATGAGGGACTAGCATGACTGACGGGTATAGGTACTCCGCTACTGAGCAAGTAGAACGCGCTTCTTGTGTCCAATGTGTCCAAACGAAAATTATTACCCTAAAACTTATACGCAGTGCCCTCTGCGGTAGGGTTATTCTACTGCCCGCTCCTACCCGAGAGGTTATTTACCTATTATAAAAACTAACAAGAACAATTTCAATACTCACAGGAATGTACCGCTGCACCACCACGGGAAGAATGCCATTTCTAACAGGAACTGCGCTGTTGGACGATTATTTCAGGGCCCACAAGGCTAGTCGTGTTCAAGCTGATTTCGCAAACCGTGGCACCACAGAATTTACCGCATACACCCCACGCGCCAAGATTTAGCACCATGTGGTTTCTTTTTGTTCAAACGTGTACAAAATATACCCGGTCCGCAAATTTTCCTCAGATGATGATATGAAAAGCGAAGTAGCATCGTTTTTTGAAGCGCAAACAAATGATTTTTTTATGGAATGAAACAACTGGGGGGATATGATTAACACAAAATGATTAGAGGTATTAAAAATCCAGTGTACCTGATGATGGTCCAATTGGAGAAACGATGCGCAATTAAAGAGATATAATCATGATTTAAAGAAATCCAGAGAATTCCGATTACTTTCGAAGATATGCCACAGAAACCGAAATTTCCTGATTTCCTTTTTATTTTAGTTTCTTTCTTCTTTTTTTCTTCTTTCTTTGGACAGATACCAAAAAAACACTTTCTCTTAGCTACTTTTTGAGTTCTATAAGACACCAATGAGAGATTTTCAATACAACGTTTCGTTTCGGAGAAATCATCATCAACTTTAGTTTTTTATGTCCCGCAAAAAAATTACTTACTGTATTAAGTGGCATTTTTTATTAAGAATACAACGCTGTACCACACACTAAAAAAACAAAAGTTGGTAACAATGTTGGTTTCAACAGGATGGTGCTTCTGCGCACAACGCCATAGTCGTTCGAAAATACCTTTCGGACAAATTCTATTTTCCAAGAAATTGGTCCGATGGATATTTTCGTACGATTAGGGCGTTGTACGCGGGTGCACCGTCCTGTTTCCAACTTTTGTTTTTTTGCGTGTGCGTATGTCGTTGAATTCTGCATAAAAAATGGCCAGTGTGTACTTTTTTACAGGCCATATAAAAAAAAATGATCAAAGTCCTCGTGTGAGATCGAAGGGACTTCAGCGCATTTTTGTGTGGCAGATCAGTGTTTTATTAGCCAATATTGACTCTACCATCAATAAGATCTTGCCGAAAGCTACCACGTTCACTTTGTCGGTACCATTTTCTCACTTACCGTGCACTCGCAATTCGCGTTTGAAGTTTTGACTCCACCATCATTAAAATCCTTTGGGGGTTACCATATTCCCTTTGTCAACACCCACTTATGATCACCCGCAACAATTCGGATTTGAAGTTTCGATTCCACCATCAGTAAGATCTCGTCGGGGGTTACCACATTCCCTTTGTCGATACACAGTTCCGACGTCCCGTTCATTCGTAATTCACATTTTGGTAGATTTCGCTAAAATCCCGGCATAAAATCGTATTCAACTTTTGGGTACTTCACATAGCTCGACCTTCTATTAGTGACACGCGAAAGAGAGACCGCGATTCGCGCTGTAAGAAACTTTTGGGCGCCCAAAGTCGACTACACCTCGAAGCGCGTCGCGCAAAAGGTGGTTTATTTCGCCCCTAGGAAAAAAAAACAAAATTCCGCCACGCAGGAGTTGTGCGCGTTGACAAGATCTTCCCGACGACACCAATGTGAAAACAATCGGAGAAAAACTGTAGAAGAAGATAGATAAAAACTGAAAAATCTCCAGGTTAGTATAATACGCTCGGGGATGGCGTCCAGATGTCGTCGACTCCGAATCTTGTAGCCCCATCCCTAACGTTCATAATTACACGGCCCCGATAGTTACATGTACACTCCTTGTCTTTTTACAAGCGTTTTTCTACGGGCGCGCATTTACTGCCAGCCAGCCAGCCAGCCAGCCAGCCAGCCGACCAGCCAGCCAGCCAGCCAGCCAGCCAAAGTGAGATTAAAAGCTACTTTTTACAAAAAAAATTTTTTGCAAAAATGCGCTAATAAAGTTGATGATGATGTCTCAGCAACAATAGGGAATACCTACTCTCAAACAAAATAGGAGTTCCTGGCTCGTTTTCGAAGTTAATACTGAAATACTTCAACTCAAATGCACTGTTTTTGACTCAATACAATGTGTACTTATTTTACGGGCCATGTACCAAAATAAAGTTGATTATCATTTCTCCGAAACGAAACGTTGTATTGAAAATGTCTCAACGGTGTCTTGTAGAGCGCAAAAAGTGATCAGAAAAAAATAAAAACCAAATCGGTAAATTTCGGTTTTTCTTCGGAAGTAATCGGAATTATATGGTTTTCTTTAAAGCACAATAATAACTCTTTAATTGCAACTTTTCTCCAATTTCACCAATGTCGCATCTTCTATGATTTCGAAGATCCCCATGATAGACATCCTTATCTTGGACACAGTGTATATTAATTGATGGATTTTTGTATTTGTCTTACAATTCAACTCACATATGATGTAACCAATAGCATGGCATTATTTTTTAAATACCGACCAATGAGGATCAGATTAGGTGGAAATTCTATTAGTGGAACATATTTCCAAATCGGAAATACCACTCGGAAGACTTCGTTCAAATGTCGTTCCCTTTCGTTAAACTTTTGATGGCCTTTAATCTCGTCTTTAATACTCGTAGTTAAATTCTAAAATTTTACATTTCGTTCAATAAAACTAAATCAAACATAAGTGAGGACAGTTATAATCATTATTGACAGTACAATTATCATAAATCACAGAAAATGAATTTCGAGTTTGGTTCAATTGACCCTGGCCAAAATGATTTCGTTGGCTGTGCATTAAACAACAAACAACAACAACAACCAACATTAAATTTGTTTCATAATGTGAGGATTTATTTACTGAGTTAGCGGCGAACTACTCGTATATACAAGCAACACAACATCACAATGGGAATTTAGATTTATGTTTAATTCGCCATTCATTGATTATTATTCTTTTACAAAAACGTTTATACTCGTACAATTATTAATACGGATTGGTTTTACAAATTCATGGCCAGCTGCTAACATTCCTATTTTGAAATAACTATACTTTGTTTATAGTAGTATTACCATTGAGGTTGAAATATTAGTTATTGAACTCCAACAGTGTTGCAACGATAATCCATTCATTAACTATGCATGCAAATAGATACTATGGTAAATTAAACAGTACCGAAAAAACAATTGGGTATTGTCTGAAAGCAAAGTTTCTATCTACGAATATTCAAATAAATCGTTGATTTCTTCTTTCATGAGTCATTTGCATCCGTGGAGGAAAGGTGTTGGCTAATCCTGCATACCGAACGTTTATATTGTTTCGAGATTTCTAAAACATAAAGATGCGGTGTTCTCACCTAAGAAATTACCGACATTATACGATTACTAAATGCTGTTTAAGCCATAAAAATTTCACAAATGAATACGTTATCTTGATGCAATAATGTGTAATGTAAACTTATTTAATAGGGTTACTTTCACCATAGTGAAAAATTTTCCACGCCGTTCATTTCTTTAACGAGACTCGCATAATTTTGGAAGATATTACCGGAAACGAGAAATTCAAAAAGCTAAATACTTTCCAATCATTACGTATTTTGTGCACGCCTCTGTGCTATTCAGAATTGGCAATAGTGTAGGTAATTATAATCTTAATTGATTATAATTACCACATGGAGTCAATCGTCTTTTGTGAGCATATTAACGATCTCTTATAACCCATTCTGTTGGTACCTACACTGCAAGTTGATTACTTTTTGTAGACGTAGTATAACGAACCAACTTAGAATAAACAAATTGGTAGCCTATTCTTAAGTTTATGTAACAATTAGGTAATTGAAAGTTCTTAATTAGGGATTGTTTTGATTACAGGTGATGGTTGTGTAGAGAAACCATTAGCAACTTTATGGCGCAATTACACCCAATCATCGCGACCTGACGTATGCATGCTGCTGACAGTCGGCGGTGGTGGTTTAAAAGCGACCACAAAGGATCACGGCTTAACGGAGTATTGGGCGAATAGACTGACGTTTTGTGCCGCTCCCTCGCATTTCCCTCGAATATTTTGCTGGGTGTATCGACACGAAGGAAAACGCCTCCGCCACGAATTACGATGCCACGCCGTTTTATGTTCATCATCCGCAACTGCTAGTCAACTTGAGGGGAACTTGAAGAATTCATTGCGTTTGGCACTGACTGAGTTTAAGAAGGATAAGGTTTCAAGGCAAAACGCTCGGTTATCGCTGGTCAATTCGATTTACGACAATCCTTCTATGCCCATAAGAAAAATTCTTTTAAGCACCGGGTCGAACAACTACCGTCCACCTTTAGAACGATCAAAATCTGCACCAAAGCTCGTTAGCATCGAAGAAAATTTGGAGGAGGAAGACGAACAGTTGACGCATTCTTCTAAGAAGAAGCCGCCATTACGTTATTATGAAAGTGCTAGCAATCTTTTTGAAAGACGAACAAATTTAGCATATAGTGAACAGACTGCAAATAGTGTACTTACCAAAAAAGAAAATGTCTGTGATAGTGTTGTGGAGGAAGTTTCGGACAAACGTAAAGTGACGTTTAGTGACAATACCGTTTTTGATGATAACTCCGACCTTTCCGTTGACGAAAAGAGTAATCGTATCTTGGAGCAACTTGCTCAAGAATCGCTGTCGAATGAATTTGTTGAATCTTGTAATGATACTTTGGAAAGGAACTGGTTTGGAAATTTAACGATAGCTACTAATTTTACCACGATAGATAGTGACGAGGGCTCTTTGTCGAGCGGGTGCGAATCCGCTAGTACGGTCACGTCAGAAATTGAGCAATCTTCTTTTTCTACAACAGAAAAGGAGCAGGACGAGTCAAATGCGGAGACCTCCAATTTGGAGTATAGGATGGATTCTGATTTTAAAGTTGGCGGTATACTTTTAAGTAGAGGCCGAAGTTTAGAAAAATTAACCGGCGTAGAATATCCAAAGTTCTATGGACTGAATTCTAGCTTAAGTACATCAAATATTATGAACGAGGAAGTCTCTCTGGTACCTGTTGGTGAAAGTCAAACTGATTTTAGTTCATTAAAAGTGTACAAAAAACGATCTTGTTCCGATTCAGGATTGAATGTAAACATTTATTCAGTTGATACGCATTTAACCACAGAAACAAACGACGAAGAAAACGTTCAAGATGAAGGTTACGATGAAGTAATAGACTGCGCAAGTTCAATATCTAACATTGTGTTAGTTTAATTATTAACTTTTCCTGTATATAATTTTTTGTGTAAATTGTTTATTAAAATGTAGATCATTTATTTTAAAATATCCTTTATGTGATTTAAAATTGTGTTGTAATTTATAACCAATTAACATTGCATAATGTTACCATATCAGATGAATGCACATTGCATGCAATAGAATCTACTACGTTGCGTATTTGTTTCGACGTCCTTCCTGGGATTTTTAAGCAAGTTATTTTCAAATCAGAACTTAGATCGTCTTAGCGAAAGTTTCACTGGCTATTTGGGGCGATGACCTGTCAAGGTAATCTTTTTGCAAAAAGACAAAATTATTCAGTTTGGGGCCAAAGCACAATAACAACCCTGTTTACATTTTGGTCAAGAAACAATGTTACCCTCATGTACGATCGGCGACCATTAGGGTAAAAAATGACTTCCACTTTTTTTACGTTTTGAAGCACCAAGAATCTGAATCAAACAAAATCTTGATGATGGCGGTCCGTCGAACTATCTCTCTGTGCTCTTATTTTCGGCTGAACCGATTAGACTCAAATTTGGTACACATATTCTTAGACATAAAAGGAAGAATATGCGTAGTGTGTCAAAGTAACAAAAAAACCGCCAATTTTAGACATTTTTCCATATTCATGTGGCTGAACTGTATTGCATCGTGCGGGTGGTATCTGTGCTAGCCACACCAAATTTTTTCATATCCGTCATTTGTACGGTCCGTAGTGAAGCTTCATTTCCGTATAGTATCTACATATTCCAACAATTTTAACGTTTCCCAATTGCTCTTTTAGACACTCATTTTCAACAGTGAGCTACTTTTTCATGACTGAATCTATTCAAAATGTTTCGTGAAATAACCCACAGGATTGTTTGCATCCGCACGATCTGTCGATCATGACACATTTCGTCAATTCGGCAAATTGGTTATTGGAACATTTTGAAGTGTAGACGTACGTCCGTTTTCCCATCGAGCACCACCACAAACCAACTGTAAATCTCTTTATGCTCGAGTAAAAAACCGACAGACATCGGCTAGCTACGAGAGTGGGAGCGGTCTACGTACGATCGCGAGCAGAATTCCCAACGCGTCCCACTGGACGAATTTTTAGTTTCAGTAACGGCCGCTGTTAACAGTTCGATTCGCCAATGAGTACTCGGGTCAGACAATGAGCGTGCTTACTACCCGTTACTGTTTCTATAGACGGTTTCGGCTAAGTTTGAGCTTGAAATGATAAAACGGAAGAAAGTTCTACCCGCAAGGATTTTTTCCTTAAGCATCCTCCCGAGTCCTCGTGCTCTACCGAGTCTTTACGCTTTACCGAGTCCTATAGAGCGCATGCGTTCGGCGCTACACCTGACTATTTACTTACGTTGCTCATTTACAAAAACCAAGTTAAGTTTAATAGTTGAGTGAAGATGGCGAAACGACAAGGAAATGGTTTTTCACACAATCACAATACTAACAACTTAAGCAAATGTTACAAGCAATAATTTCTAAGGGTTTTTAATGTAGGCATTATGAAATGATGCGTTGTGTACATTTCAGGTATGTAGGTGTAATTAACCCCCAATATATTACTTATTATATTCATCAATATACCTACAGTGTAGTTGGTTTTTGTAAGGTCTTCAAACTTCCCTTTCCACATTTCGAAGTCACTCGCTTCACATTCTACCTCTAACTTGAACTCCATAACTGCATCATCAATTGTTTTCACAATTTTAATCGAATACGTAAATTCTTTCGGAATAAACTATTGAAAAAAAACGGATAGATATTGGTAATATTTAATTTTCTAAGAATATAATAAACACTGGTACTTGCCTGTTTAACTAAATCTTCCATATTCAAATCAAAAACTAAATACGAGTGAATTCTAATAAATTACTGACAATCAAAGACCACGTTTTCCCGCCACTACACAACAATACAAAACGAACACACATGGGCAAAACCGCAAAGTACGCAACCGTTCTATAGGACTCGGTAAAGCATAAAGACTCGGTAGAGCACGAGGACTCGGGAGGAAAAAATCCTTGCGTTCTACCCCTAGTTTTGTTTATTTCTACCAGTGTCGCCACACATATCGCAATATATCTCCAAATTGATTAGTTATTTTTACAATATTGCCATATAATTGGTAATTTATGTTTATAGCAATATAACCTCACAAAACATTCGCATAACCTCATTTATTCGTCTTCTGTCTTATTATTTCCTGGTCTTTTCTCAACTCAACTGTACACAATCCTTCTTGCTCAAGCTCCTTTCGATAGGGACAGTAAAACAACCAAAAGTCCTGCAAATCGAATTTCCTTCTCAAATTTGAAGAAAAATCTTGACTATTAATGTGCGCACTCACAAACTGCACAATGTCAACTTTTTCATTTAGGGAGATCTGTTTTTGAAATTTTAACCACTGATGTTTCTAGTAAAGACAAACATATCGTATTCGTATAATAGTATAAATCATATATGCGCATCACAGATTCGGCATGGTCAGCATGGCATGGCCAATTGTTTAACTATAATAATTCTTGTGTTACAGTGTTAGGTACCTATAGCCTTTCGGGAAGTATGTACTGATCTGTGCATGGAAAATGCGATAAAGTTACTTCGCCTTAGGGCGAAAATCTTTTTCTTGTTATTTTTGAAAGTAGACTATTTTACATTTTGCAACGTAGAAGTCTGTATGTTGGATCGACAATTTTTCGAAATGTTTAAAAGCAGGTTTGGTTTTTTGGGCATATGATATAAATAAAGTTTGTTTTTAAATCTCCATACAGATCGTTGTCTCCATTTCTGTAGACAAACGGTGAGTCACGATTGATTATTCGCGTGATGCCTTCCTCATCCCTAATCGCCTTAAAGTTTGCACCCATTTTTACCTTAACCGTCCATATATATACGATCCTGGAAAGAGCAGAACGCATTTTTGCGCAATTGTTTTTTTTACGGTTCGCGAACGGCAACCGTCTAAAGACAAACAAGTGAAATGTGTAGGTAATCGTGAAACGATATGTACGTAAGCGCATTACAACAACGTTTTGTTCCATATTTAAACTAGACAATTGTATGCAAATTTTATGTCCAAAACTTCATTTCTTGACAACAAGATATAGATTCAAAATTTTGCCAATCAAATCGTTAAGTACAACGATTTTTGTCCAAACGCACGCAAACAAATTTAATGACACATGAGGTTGTCTGAAATGTCATTTATTATTCAATTACCAGATACAGATCCCAGAAACCAGATCTAAATTTTCTGCGCATTTGTGGTTTTGGAATGCTTTTAGGGGAATTGTTCTAGAATCATTTTGCAATTGGGGTGTCCATCTTCACCTCTTTTCCAGCCCCATTGTTCGGAAGGGAGTGATTTCTCCAGCCACTGCTGAACTTGTTTATTCAAGTTTTTTACAACCCCAACACCTGACGCAGTTATTCAAGCTGGGGAACAGATGTTACTCCATATGTACCAGACCCCAGCGATGAAAATGACCTTGATCGCCACCTTATTTACAGGGTATTTGTTAAGTCAACCACCAAACTTAAACCAAATCTTCCCTCTCTTCCTCCAACGAAAACTTCAGCACGGTAACACTCTCTTAGAGTGTTTCTCCAAGTTCAGCAGTGGTTGGAGAAATCACTTCCTCTCGAACAATGCGGTTGGAAAAGAGGTGACGATGAACACCTTCTCCCAGTAAAAAACACAGCTCCGCCAGCCCCGGAGGAAATATTACAAGCCATTTTTGCCGGTGCTCTACTAACTGCGGGGCTAGCTGTGGGTGCAAGAAGGCTGACATATATATTTTGTACCTACCATTGTCTGTGCCAACTGCCAAGGGAGCTGTTTTAACTCTCCACCAATCCTGGAAGAAGATGAAGAGGACGTAGACGATCTTCATGGAGAGGAATTGAGGAAATTTAATTCCCTACAACCATTCACTTATACGTTAAAACTGAACAGGTAATGACCTCGAAGAAAAGTTCGACCGAAAACGTGAGTTTTTTTAAATTTCTCACTTTCAAGAGCCCGTAGCTGAAAAACGATGCGTTTTTTTTAAAGAAAATGTATATGGAAACAAAGTCGTAGATTTTATGAGCTTTCGCACTTTTGAAACTTGAAACTTGAAACTTTGACATATGCCTGGCGTCGTCGCCTCTCCCAGGATTTAGTCAACTGTCGCGAGGATGCGTCCCTGGTAGACACTACCAGGGACGTTTCTCCACTACTTTGTTGCCATCGCGCTGGGCCGCGACATATGCCAAACAATGTAGTGGATTGGGGGGGTTGTGGGGGGGGCGGCTAACTGGGTGTTATCCGACCCGAACGGGTACGGCCACAGCTTCGCCACTGGTATTCTGTCTTAGAGGGAACTCTGCTTTCTAGTGATAGCTTCTTCTCCGGGCGTTCATTGGCTTCCGATGTTCCTATCCTTTGGTCTCGTTCCCTTTCCTGTTTTCCCTCGTGTTAGGCTCTTTTTATTGTTGTCCTCTCCCCGCATTACTTTCGGTCCCCTTTTCCTCCTCCCCTTGGCTACTTGTCCTTGTGGCTGATTCTTCCTCCACCTCCAGTATTCTTCTGCTTTCTTTCTTCCTTTGATGTTTGTCTCTGCCATTCTCTTCCCATCTTCCCATGGTAATCCCCGAGACCTCTACCGTTTGGTTTATGGTGGTGTTCCATGTTTGGCAGGGTCGGCCTACCTTCCATTCCGAGGCACATAGAATCTTAGCAGCCCGAATGATATGGTCTTTGTTCCTCCTGTTGGTATGTCTCCAGTATCTCATCTGCCTCATCTTCAGTCTCCTGGCAATCGTCTTTTCCTCTAATAGTTCTCTTCTCTGCTTTCTTGTCAGGTTGCTGTTTTCTTCAGTATCCTGAGTGTCTTCCACTCCGCCCTCCTCAATGTTCGTCTGTTGCTCTTTGTTGGCGCTGAAGTGTTAATTCCGTATAAGATTGTCGGTGCTACGATCGTGTTGTAAATCATCATTTTCAAGCTGTCCGGTATTTTCTTTTCTCGTAAAAAGTTCCAGATTCCGTGTGTGATTCTGAATGCG